TTCCTCGGGAGGCGGCGGGCTCTCCATCTTGGGAGGTTTTTAAGCGGAGGCTAGATGGCCATCTGACAGCAATGCTGATTCTGTGAACTGAGGCAGATCAGGAGAAGGGAGGGCAGGAAGGGCTGCCTCGGTGCTTAGTTCTTGTGGCCCTTTCTTACACTCCCAGGGAAATGCTGATTGCCACTTTGGGGTCAGGAAGCAAATTTTCTCCAGGCCAGTTTGGTTGGGGATCCTGAAGGGTTTTTTTGCCTTTTCTTGGGACCAGAGGAGGGCTCACCGGGGAGTGGCAAGGGAGGTATTTGTGAATTCCCTGCATTATGGAGGGGGGTGGGCTGGATGACCCCGGAGGTCTCTTCCAGCTCTGTTTCTGTGGCCACTAGCTGCGGGGGGGGGGGACTAATCTTCTCAACAATTTGTATGTTATGGTTTGAAAGCAGGAAGAATACAGCCTCTGGATCCCACATAACATGCAAGAAACAGAAGTTTGTTTGTCTGGGCTCTAAATCGGGGAAAGCCTTAGCCTCAGTTGGCTGTGTCCATAAAATGGGGCTATAACTGACATACCTCGTTTAGGGAGGATGGCAGAGCCAGAGGGCTTGTCACGATTCCGAATGGGTGCTCAAATGCAACAGAGACGCCTTTTCCTTGGTTTCAAGCTGCCCCTCAAGTTCTGCTTGGATTTCTCCCTGCAGGGATCTACACGAGCAACAAGGACCCCATTTCGCACGGGGGTGGGGTGCTCCGGACTGTGTGCAGCACCCCCCTCTCCTCCAGCCTCCTGGCTCACCAAGGCACGTCGTCACTCCCTCAACTCACCCGCTCACCCTTTGCTAGCACCATTCCAGCAGCCTCCTCTTCCTCTGTCTCCACAACCCAGGTAAGGGGAGGGGCCGTGGCTCACTGGTAGAGCATCTGCTTGGCATGCAGAAGGGTCCCAGGTTCAATCCCCGGCATCTCCAGTTGAAAGGGGCAGCTAGGAGGTGATATGAAAGACCTCAGCTTGAGTCCCTGGAGAGCCATGGAGAGGGGCTGTGGCTCAGTGGAAGAGCTTTTGCTTGGCACGCAGAAAGTCCCAGGTTCAATCCCCGGCATCTCCACTTAACAGGACCAGGCAGTAGGTGATGCGAAAGACCCTCTGCCTGAGACCCTGGAGAACCACTGCTGGTCTGATTAGACAATACTGACTTTGATGGACCCAGGGTCTGATTCAGTAGAAGGCAGCTTCCTGTGTTCATGTGCTTTGAGCTTTGTTGCCATCACTAGTTATTTTTAATCTAGGTTAAGAACATAAGAAGAGCCCTGCTGGGTCAGATCACTGGTCCATTTTTCCAGTATAACTGTCTCATACAGTGGCCAATCAGTTACTCTGGAGAACCAACAAACAGAGCGTAGAGGCCTTCCTCTGAAGAGCATAGAGGGCCAACAAACTGAACACGGTCCAACAAACTGAGCGCAGAGGCCAACAAACAGAGCTAAAGCCTTCCTCTTATGTTGCCTCATGGTGCTGGTATTCAGAGGTTGACTGCCTCTGAATGTGGAGGTTCCCTTTAGTCCCCATGGTTAGTAGCCACTGGTAGACCTGTCGTTCCCCGTCCCCACCTGCACTCAGCCATTGCTCGCATTCAAGGGGGTCTCAGAGCCAAACTACATGGAACAATTTTTTGTATAGAATACTGCATATGAAGCTCCAAGGTGTGTTAAATAACTCCCCACTGGGGCCATTTCAGCTGAGGAAGGTGGGGTGAGGGGTGGGAAGGCAGGAGTCCCTCCTCCCCTGCACCACGATCCCGAGCTGAATTAGGCCCCTGCAGACTTTCAAAATGATGTTCCCTGGTGCTCCTGTGTGGCTGCAGGAAAAGCAAATCGGGCCCAGGGAACCCAGATCTGACTTGTTAAAAAATACCTGGTGTAATTCAGATCTTGATTGTTTCCCTAACCCTGTGCAGGCTCAGGCACCTGCAACATTAAAAAGGGCTTCTGTGTATCCCCCATCCCCACATTCCAAGCTGTCTCAGTATTTTCCCTGTTCCCATCTGGGCTTTAGCATCCACCCACATTCAAAAGAAGCATCCTACATTTTGTTTTAGCTATACATGTGTAGAGAAGTTTTAAAAAGTGGATGCAGAAATTAACCCTGTGTAACCCCAAGATTATCCCCCTGTGGAGAGTCACTGGTAAAATCTGGAAAGAATCAAGGATGGATGTTTACATGAAAGAGGATGAAATTGTTCAAGCTGTTCATTGTTCCGGGCGGCCTGTTTCTGCTAGCTGTTGCTGTATATTCAGCCCACTCAGAAGTAGGGGTGCTGCCTCTGGGTTGGGAAATTCCCGGAGATTTGGAGGGTGGAGCCTGGGGCGGGCGGGGTTTGGAGAGGGGAGGGGCCTCAGTAGGCTATAGTTGCAGGCATTTTCCTCCAGCACAACTGGACTCTGTAGGCTGGAAATCGACTGTGATTCCAGGGGAGCTCCAGCCGTGTTCCCTCTAAGCTGAGTTAGTGTGAGCTAGCTCTCAGATTTTTAGCTTCCGGCTCTCACAGTTTTGTCGTAGCTCAGGTAGGAGGGCTCCCAAGCAAACTGATTTATGCAATAGCCAAATGTCTCACTCACAACTTTAATGCCGGTAGCTCACTAAGTGGAATTTTTGCTCACAAGATTCCACAGCTAAGAAGAGAACATTGATCTCCAGGCCCCACCTGGAGGTTGGCAATCCTACTCAAAAGGTGGGATACAGGGGAAAAAGTAACAGGGATAGAATGGCAGGATACGTCTTGCAGTGGACGAGAAACTTCTAGGAGGCCGTTCTGCTATCCCTACTCAGCCAAATTGCATTGTGATAAACATACCCACTCGTTTTGAACTGCAGCCTGTAAACTGACAACAACCCTGACCTGGATGGCCCAGGCTCACCTGATCTTGTCACATCTCAGAAGCTAAGCAGGGTCGGCCCAGGTTAGTACTTGGATGAGAGACCACTAAGGAAGTCCAGGGTAGTTATGCAGAGGCAGGCAATGGAAAACCACCTGTCTCTTGCCTAGAAAATCCTACAGGGTCACCCTTTTTATTTTTTTTAATGTAGGACACCCTTATTCTTTGAACCAGTAAACCCAAAGGCCATCCATGATACTGACCACATGATCTGGGGCAGAAAGGGGTCCCTCTTAACCTAAAGCCTAGCTTCACTGACCCGGGTATTCCTCTGTTTGTTGTTTTTTCTTGACACTGAGCAGAGGTCAATTTTGCCTGAGGTTTTCTATAGGGAGAACAGTACTGCATTTTTTAAAAAGATAACTGACAGCCCTTCAGAACCAAATGTTTGGGGATGTCTCTAAAGTGGGGGGTCCAGATCCAGCGCACCCACTGTCTTCCCCCTCCACCCCGCCCCCAGATGTTTGTATAAGGTATTTTGGGAAAGTTGTCTTTTATTTGGGAAAGTTGTCTTTTATTTGGGAAATGTTGTCTCTTAAAACAAACTGGTGATTTCTCCCCCCTCTTCCTTGCCTTTTCCCCTTGCACAGGTGTTCTCGCTGGCGGGATCTACATTTAGCCTCCCCTCGTCCCACATTTTTGGAAGCCCCCTCACCTCTGGGCTGTCCATCAACCCCTTGCTGAACCAAACAGAGAACAACCAGACAGGTACGTGAATCAGAAAGCTGTAGAAGCTCTGCCTAAAAATGATCCCCCAATGATTCAGGGGTGTTCAACCAGCACGCTCATTTTGTACCATCCCTGTAGCGTTCCTTCCGTTCTTTCCCCATCTGTTTATCGCTTATGAGCTGTATGGGAATGAGCAAGTCATGGAAAAAATGTTTTCCAATGTGCTTCCTTACAGGGAAAAATTCCCTGTTTACAGTAGTAATACATTTGTATTTGGACCAGGCTGCATGTAAAGTATGTACCGTAGAGTAAACGCAGATGTACTGTACAGTACGTACATATGTACAGTAGCCAAGCATCAGAAACATGGCCAGAGGCTCTTGGGAAAATGAACATAAGGGGTCCATGCGCATGCGCCAGTGAAAATGGGAGATGTGTTTCAGATTGACAGTAGGCAGTAACTGTGCTAGGCTGCCACCTGGTGGCAGGTTGGAGCACAACATCCTTTGAGACTGGCGGTAGCTGTCTTCCAGTTCTACGGGGAGGTTTTAACCAAAGAAGAATGGGGTTACTACGCAGAGGAAGGCAAAGGCATACCACCTCTGCTTGCCTCTCGGCTCGTGGTTGTAACTTGACAGCACGTTCTTCTTATTTGAGTGGCTGTTGTTTTAAATAGTTGCAGAACGTGAACTTTAGCTGTGCAAGTACTGAGAGGATTGGACAAACCTGGATTGTGCAGATCAGAGGGAGGGTGTTTGGAAGGGGTTTGAGCTGCATGCTGTGGGAGATCTTAGAGTATAATGCCAGCAAGGTCTGGCTCACTTCGACTTACACCCATAGAGGCCGTGGATGCCCAAAACCATCATGAAAGCAACACACCCATTTGTGTAAACCTGGGTCTGCCCTAATCACGTATCTCTGGTATACTTTTCCTCCCAAGGTATATAGTTCTCCTTTCCCCATTTTGTCCTCACCTCAGCCCTGTGAGGGAGGTTGAGAGTGGGTGACTGGCCCAAGGTCACCCAGCAGGCGTCCATGGCAGAACCCATCTCCCAGGTCCTAGGCCAACATTCTAATCCCTGCGTCATCCCGACCACATTGAGCCACGGGGACTCCAGGCCAGTGCTCCCTCTAAGCTGAGTTAGTGTGAGCTAGCTCACAGTTTTTTAGACTCCAGCTCACACATTTTTGTCCTAGCTCAGGAAGAATGGCTCCAGAGCAAACTAATTTATGCAGTAGCCAAATCGCTCGTTCACCACTGTAATGCCAGTAGCTCACAGAGTAGGATTTTTGCTCACAAGACTCCACAGCTTAGAGGGAGCATTGATCTCCAGGCCCTCCCTGGAGGATGGTCACCTGAAGAGCCCGGGGCTTATCCAAGTGGGCTTGTTTCCATCATGCATAGTTTGACTCCTGGCACGGAACTATTGGTGAAACAAGGACCGGGGGGGGGGTGTGGTCTGTAAATTGTGGTTCATTTGTTTCTTAGACTCATACTTTTATCTTTCCACTTCCAGAACCAGACATCGAAGACTGCAATTTTGCCTGCCGAGGCTCATCACCCCAAGAGAGTCTTTCTTCCATGTAAGATTCTTTTCTTGGTGGGGCAGGAATGGGTGTGTGTGTGTAGATGGTGCATTGATGTATTTTCAAGAGCAGGATGAAATGTACATCCTGAGAGATGAACTTTGTGCTAAGGGCTTCTTTCACGTTTATTTTGAATAACTTTTTCGTAGTTCAAATGCAGTCTCGGCGACTGCTTTATCAAAGAGGAGAATGGTACGGACGGCTTCAGTCCTTTCCTCCTTTGCAGTTTTCACTTTGGGAAAATACTCCCTTAAACTGATTTTACACACACACACACGCACTGGGGACACTTAAAGGTGCCTGTATTTTTCCCCCAGTGGTGTAAAAGGAGCTCAGGGGTGATTTTTCCCTTGAGTAAATGTCAGGGTGGAAAGGGTTAAAGATTCTTTCATACTGTTCCCCTGACTGATGAAGCAGATTGAGGAAGACTGCATTTGCAAATGGGAAAAAAAAACTGTCCTTCCCACTTCCCCCACCATGCAAAACACATGCTCTCAGCTGGGGGGAGCACAGTGCAGGGCAGAAGCGGTGGGTAGGAAGGGTAAAGTGACTGCCCACGCTCACTGCTTTTCCCTTCCAAACTGTGCACAGGACCTATTGCTCAAAAGATGTTCAGTTGAGAGCTGATTTCAGAGGCCTAAGTCTGCTGCAGCGCCCCTCTGGACTGTCCCTCTGAGATGAAAACTCTTTGAGCCGACTGGGGTTCCCTCCTGTTTTCTTCCGGCAGACACCCCGCCCCACCAGTGTTCCCTCTAAGCTGAGTTAGTGCAAGTTAGCTCACGGTTTTTTCGACTCCAGCTCACACATTTTTGTCTTAGCTCAGGAAGGATGGCTCCAGTCCAGAGCAAACTAATTGATGCAGTAGCCAAATGGCTCACTCACAACTTTAATGCCAGTAGCCCACAAAATAGAATTCTTGCCCACAAGGCCCCGGTCACACGGGAAGATTTGATCCGCAAGAGGGACGGATCGGGTGCGCATCAAGCGGACGCGATCACACGGCAACATCTGGGAAGTAGCGCGCACCCGTTCCCGATCCATGTCTTCCAGCCGAAGATGCGGAGTTAAAATAAACCTGCAAAGCACTACTACCTACCGGAAAATCTGCGGTATGGGCGGCCGTGTGATCGCCAACATGCCCGTCTCCTGCAGCATGCAAGGCCCCCGGCCGAACTGCGCGGGCGCACACATGCGCAGCTGACTCGCCTCGCTCTCCCGTCCGTGGTTTCCCCCTCGCATCTGATTACGCTGGGGAGCATATGCGTGGTGGCTCGGGGGATCTGTCTGATCCCACTGCCACGCTTCTCTTTTGCTGCGGCTCTAAAAAGCCACACTTCCACCCCGGCTTTTCCTGCAGTGTGACCGGGGCCAAGATTCCACGGCTTAGAGGGAGCCTTGCACCCCACACGTTCTACTCCCTTTAAGGAAACATCCGGATTTTTAACTTCAGGATGGCAGGCCTGTTCGCCAGAATTAGTTGCATCATTGATGAATCAGTGTTTCTAATTCTCAGTGTGGCCCCATCTGAGGGTACTTAAATCCAGAGACTGGGGCCGTGGACAGACAGGACAGATCTTTCTAGAAAACTGAGAAAAGCTCCAGGTTTGTGGAAAAATCTGAAATCTTTAAAAATTACCTTGGGGGTTTATTTATTAAAACATCCATATCCCACCTATCATCTTGGCTTAAGGCAGTTTACAATAATAGTTAAAGCATCTCCAGCTAAAACCAAAGATAAAAAGCAAGCCCCAAATTCCTCTCCCGCCCCTTAAAAGATGCCTGCCATTCACACCCCCTCAAACGCCCTGACAAACAGGCAGGCTTGCATCGCCCCCTAAAGATCTCCAAGGAGGGGGCTCCTTTCCTCTTCAGGGAGCCCATTCCACAGAGCCGGAGGAACGACAGAAAAGGACCTGGTTTTGGTCGATGTCAGACAGGCTGCCCTAAGGGCCAGGTGGCCAGCAGATGGCAGTGGAAATATTCTGCATTTCTGAATTTTCAGAATCAAAGCTTTCGGTTAAAGAGAGAGTGAAAATTTCTAGCCTTTTGGGTTGGGGAAATAGGGAACACCTGAACTATGAATGTAAAATCGGCAATCTTCGGCAACATCCAATCCCAGACTCAGGGTTTTTTTTTTTGTCTTTGAGTGCCAGGCCCTGGAGCCTTGCATCCCTCGTGTGGGATGGGTAGAATGAATGGTTTGTCACTGAACAGGGATGGATGTTCACTCTCCTTCTGATGGCTCTTCCCCCCCCCCCCGCCTCTCTCCAGCTCCCCCATCAGCAGCCTCCCTACCCTCTTCGATCAGACCGTGTCGGCCAGCAGTGGGGCTCTGGAGAATGTCCCTCAGGCAACCCCGAACATTGAGCAGCTCCTGGAGAAACAGGGCAACGGGGAGGCTGGCGTAAACAGTGAGTTCGAATCCTCATACTGCCATAAATCTGCTTTTCCCTGCTCTTTCATGGATAATCTCATACAGGGGTCGTTTTGTAGAAAAAGAGGTGCAGGAGCTCATTAGCATAACTCATTAGCATAACTTAGTTGCATGTGCCATGTCCCCTGACATCACCAGAAGTGTGTCAGAAGGCAAAACCCACCGCTCAGGCTCCACTGGACTGTTTTGGATTGACTATTTGGGGCGGGGGGATGTGCAGATCTGTCCTCACAGAGGAGGGAAAGGTTGTACCTGAATAAAACTTGGTCTTAAAGGTGCCACTGGACTGTTTTGCATTGCTAGCTAGGGGGACGGGAACGTACAGTTCTGCCCTCACAGAGGAGGGAGAGCTTGTACCTGAAGGCGGGCCGGGGGGGGGCCTCTGCAACGTACCTGGCTGCTTCTTGCTCCTCATGGCCAACTGAGGGCTGCTGGGAGCAGGGGGCAGAGCTGGGCTCCTTACTGCCCCCTGGGCTCCTTACTGTCGGAGCTCTGCTCCTGTGTGCTTCTGCAGGAAATGACCCCTGATCTCATACATACTGTTCCAGAAATAACTGTTGCCTTTCCTTGGGCTTTGTTTTGGGTTTTATTTCCAGGTTTAGGTTTCAGTTTATTGCTTTTAGCCGTAGGCCATTACAATGACAGAACAATATAACAATAACATCTATATAAACTTCTAAAACCAGAAGGATTAAAACTAAATTAGGACACAATAAAACATTATAATAATTCTATCTCTCCCATCCAGACTTCTGTTGGTAATCAAGCTATGGTACTGCTACTATTTTCTTCCGGATTTTCTCTGCAGCGAGGGCAAAGAGGGACACCTTGTATGAAATCTCGGCCTCTACATCTGCTAGTAGCACTAGAATTTTTTCGGTTTCTGTTCTAGTACCTAAGGAGGCCAAGATTGGGTCTAGAAATTTCTTCCTAGGGGATTGGTAGAGTGGACAGAATAACAGGTAATGGCACAGATCTTCTGGCACTGGATCTCCACACGGGCAGAGACGCTGGGCAACAGGTTTTATTTTCAATGTCCTTTCAGGGCCTTCGGGAGTGGGCTTGTAACTGATCCAGGCGCTGACCAATCAGTGCTGTGCTTTGACAAAAAATAGTGGGGCACCTTTGTGACTGAAGCATGGGCCGGCCAATCCGCACTGTGCAAATCTGGCTGCTGCTCAAAGCACAAAACCAGTTTCTCTCCCCTCCCCGATCCCAATTCTGGCAGAAGGTTCTATGACAGGGGTCCTCAACACGGTGCCCACCGAGTGCTTTTAGAAAGTGGGCAGGGTCAGGCGGGGCTTTTCCCAGCAAGGCTTCTGACTGGCCATTGGAGATCTGATTGGCTTTAAAAATATTGGCAGCCGCTGCCCATCCCAACACAGGGATCTTCACTGTGTGGACTGATGGGCCATTTTATGGCTGTGCCCTGCCCACCATGTTGAGTCAGAATTCCAGTGGTGCCCACAGGCTCAAGAAAGGCTGGGGACCCCTCCTGTCTGGTGTCAGTCCACTTCCATTCAGGCTCGCTGCTGAAATCTTGTACGCCTTGCATTGTCTCCGTTCCAGCCATGCTCTAACCCGATCACTGCTGTTGCCCCCCCGACCCCCCTCTCCTCCCAACCCCGTTTTGGTC